GGGGGGGGGGTAAATTGAAAGACAAAGGACCACCACCACCTCTTGTGTGCGGGGGTCACTCTTGCCCAGACTCGCTCGACCTTGAATTTCGTCTTTGCACGCGCGCGCGGATGTGCCTTCTGTTCCTTTCATCGAGGGGACGCAAGCGGGCGGGGTTCTCGGGTTTCCCACCGCCCAGGTCCAGGGCGAATTCGGTTAGCGTCATTGCTGCCCTAAGAGGCATGGCTAACCCTGCCAAGTTCAGCCACGGTTTTGCTGACATAATAACAACGTCAATGAGAAACAGGCACAGCGGGACACACGTAGGGAAACGGTGCCATCAGAAACGGAGATGATTTGTGTCGGGGACTTCGTGGCGGTGCGACGCTTCCAACACCGACTCAAGTCCAGCACCTGCTAATTTAGGAAGGTAGAAGAAACGGTAGAAACCGATGTTGCAATTCCAGGCCTGTGCGTGCACAATTCAATTACTGCAACGACTTCAACAATGTTCGTTCGTCGAGGCAGTTGCGCAAAGGCGCTTGATTGCAGGGTGCCCTCGAACAACTGACGACCTAAAGTTTGCTGAGGCTGGGAAATCCCTTGGCAGGGGACTCAATAGTGCGCGCGCATATCTCAATATCAAAAGCTACCTACCGACCCTCTCCAGGAATCTTGACCAACCACACGCAAAATTTGTTCGTTTAGTCAACCCAACCGACTCTTTACCAACTTGGTATGCTTCCAAGCGAAATAACGGGTGCTGGTGATGGCTTTCCACGAGGAATGGTCGAACAAGGTTCAAACATCACCAGGTGACTGTTGTCGTATCCATGTGGGTAGGGTGTCAGGGGCAACGCACGGAATGGGGCTCGAAACGATGCTTGCACGGTGCGACTCTGGTTCATTTGCTTTTTACAAGAAAAGACAGAGAAATGAAGTGAAAAAAAGAGGTAGTATATTAAACCGCTGCAAGAGATTTTCTGTTCGTTCTAAGCATATAAATCACCGCGTAGTGTAAATAGTCATCTATTCCCGGTCCGTCATTTTCGTAAAAAAGCAAAGCGCACCTGCCGCTTAGAGCAGCATGTAGAAGCCGGCAGCCACCAGGCCGGCGACGGCAGAGAGGCGCGAAGCCGAAAGAGCGCCGGCACCGGCGGTGACGTGGTCGGTGGGCAGGACGGCAGGCTTGGTGCCGGTGGCGGGGATGGTGGCGGGGATGGTGGTGTTGGGGTGGCCGGTCGGGGTACCAGTGCTGCGGAGGAAATAGCAGCCGTTGACAAGAACGCACTGCTGGCCCTCGGGGTACTTGTGGGCGGGGTTGCAGCTGTAATCGCCGGCAGCGCTGGTCGAGCCGGGCGCAGGGCAGCTGGTGCCGGTGGGCTTGGGGGCCGCGGAAGAGCTGCACTGTGGACGGAGGAAGTAGCAGCCGTCAACGAGGATGCACTCCAGACCCTCGGAATACGTGTGGGCGGGGTTGCAGCTGTAGTCGCCAACAACGCTGGTTGAGCCAGGCGCAGGGCAGCTGGTGCCGGTGGGCTTGGGGGCCGTGGACGAGGCGGCCTTGCTGCGAAGGAAGTAGCATCCGTTGACAAGGACGCACTGCTGACCCTCGGGGTACGCGTGAGCCGGGTTGCAGCTGTAGTCGCCGGCAGCGCTGGTCGAGCCGGGGGCAGGGCAGTTGGTGGCCTGCGCCGAGACGGCGCCGAGGCCGGCCAGGGCAGAGAGGATGGTGAAAGACTTCATATTGATAGGTAGAGTGAGACGTGGCTAGTGCTAGACGATGGCTCGGTGTGAAACGCTTGATGGCTTGCAACTTGAGAAACAGTCAACAAGGGAAGGGGCCCTACTTATAGGGGTAAACAACAAATATGTTTAGTGTTTGGAGAGCCGCATGCGAGGACGGACTCCGCCGAGAAGCTTCAATCGTATGTCTCGGTGCTAACAAGGGAAATACGAGGTTGACGCCCTAGCTCGAGGGAACCGTGGCAGTAGGGAGATGGCTGGTCTGAACCATTGGACCCGCGGCCGCTGCGTTGAGTGAGTCCCGCAGCTGGATACTACAGAGGGGATTAGGTTGCGCTATGGAATGTTAGCTCGTCCACCCCAGATTGCAACATACATATCTTCTGCTGAAGGAAGAATGACGCACGGCTCAAGCCCGCCAGTTTATTAATAGTACCGCCACCCAGCTTTCTGCCTCCCTTCCCTTTTGCCATGTGGACAAGACATGTCGCATCGCCAGTGTGAATCAGCGTGGTCCTGGCCATCTGCACGATGCCACTGCTTGTCGGCCAGGTATCGGCCTCCATGGCGCCGTGTTCACGAGGCACTACGAGGATCGGCGAAAAGCACAGTCGGATGACCTCGACCTGGTGCGCCTGGATACGATGGTCGTTTGGACCCCCACTCGGCGCATTTCGGTGGTTGAGGTGGGCCGATCGTAGTGATCGCCAGGACCTCAATTTTAGTGGGCTTCGGCTTCGGCACAGCGGCAGCCAAGACTGGAAGGCTGGGGGAAGATCACACAGACCATTGGTTTTCCCCTGATTCCCAAGGGCATTCTTCAACATCATGTTTTGCCTGTTTTGGACCACCTTTGTCGTGGCCGTCCCCACAACGTGAAAACGTCGGGAATGCGTTATAGGTCCGCAAGAAATTTCTGCGCGTTCCTTTCAGAAGGTTGGCGATGAGCCCAGAAAAGAAACAGGCCATGCAGGGCATTGTGGGAAGGATCTGCTTGCTATTCGTCGCCTCGACCTTTTGCCTCGGCAACCAGCCCATGTGTCGTATTCGACATGGTACTCACTCGATCCGTTCACCCTCAGCTCAATCGCTTTGGTCCGAGGCGGCGTTGCACTCGTCAACGTCTTTGTACAGTGTCTTTGTACAGCGATCATCGTCAATCCACCAAGATGACCCCACTGCCTGGTCCTGCTCCCAAGCCTGACCTCATCGCTCACATTGGTATCTCAAAATAGGGCGACAAAGGCTTGGCTTCGGCTCCCCTCGAGACCCCGTTTTCGGATCACGGCATAGGTAGAGATGAACACGAGCGAACGGCAAATCTCTTTTTGGCGCGGTCAAGAGCATCGACTGCACAAGTACGTCATACATGTATACCACAGCCATAGCTTTCGCTTTCACCAGTCGATTCCGCCAGCCAGTTGCCGATTCAGCGCTCAACAGATTGCTTGTGTTCGCACACACACAACGCTCCCCAGATCCACCGCACATTGATCTCTCCTTTCGCACCTCACCTTCGTTTCCTTCCCACTTCCACCGCAACGTGGCGCTGCAAGAACACGGGTAACACGTTGCCTTGACAGACTCAGCCATTGCCGCATTTTGTGTCTCTTGCGAATGCAGTGCAACGTCTGACTGCGGTCATGTCTGGGACATTGTAGTCTGTTTTCGTGGTCAACGGGTTGGGGGCGCGCTACAAATTCGTCAGACGGCCTTGGGAAATGCGAGCCACGTCGGAGACCGGCCTCCTGAAACATGGGGGAAAACCTCTCTATGAACGTCCGCTGAGGGCGTGCTCGCGCCTGCCAACTTCCTCAGTCCGCATAGACCTCTGGTGCGGTATTTGTTCATTCCCCCACGGCCCTTTAACAACATGTACAGAGCGAGAATAGGCTCTCGTCCACGGACAAATCAAGTGATAGTCACGATGGCTCAAGCTCTGCGACGAATGTATTGGGTCTGAAAGGGTAGCACTGCTGGGTGCAACCTGAGTAGGGGAGATGCTCTTCGATCCGATGACTGGTGTTGTGACATGCGGGGCTCGACCTTTGTCCCTCCGTCCGAAACTTCGATACAGGCACATCAAAAGAACATAGGTCAAGTGATGGGCGGATGCGCATGCCACTGAATTGAGTTTGAACCCATGCAGTTAGCCAGGGCAGGCACATGACAACATACATTGCGCCCAGGGGCAGGGTTGCCAAGACAACTCGCGGCTTTGCAAGAGGCTTGCCCAACAGGAATTCAAGGCAGGTAGATGGATCTCGTATTGATTTTTCCGTGCCACGAGACACAGCGCCAGCCTCGACGGATTCAAGAGTATACGACATGCATGAATAGGGTTTGGACCGCTCTTGCATCCCCGTTTCCTGATGCTCAGATCTTGCCAGTGCGAAGATCGATGGCTAACTTTGTCGAGGCCAGTCGCCCAGATATAATGGGTGGCACGGCTCCGACTACTGACTCGCGCCGAACTTCTTGATCGTTTATCATGACGCCAATATCGCTTTACGGTGAGATTTTGTTGCACATGCGGCCTACATATCAGAAGGCATTGCCTGTTGTCAGGATAGCTGTATTCGACCAACTCTCTTCCGGCACACGTTCATCAATGGCCTCCTTCAGCTTGACGGTCACTCGTAGAACTGGGGATACAAGTTCGGCACATGACAACCCTCAACGAACCAACATCACGTCATCGACCTTGTGAAGTTCGGCCGATGAAACAGCAGCTTCGTACTGTCTCTTTGAACAGAGCGCCTCGCCATTTCAATCCACATCAGTATTTATTCGTCCAATTGAACTATCTCAGGGGAAGCTAGAGACTAGTAAAAGTAGGTGAATTTCAAAAATATGCCGGTTCCAAATCTCCATCATGTGTCTTTTAACCGCTACATCAATTCAATCTCCTTGAGCCGTAAACAATAAGAAGAGGTTGATGTCTTTAAGCGGTACAGCAGAGTGGTTGGAGATCAGCTACACATAGTCTGGCAACCTACCGAAGAAGTAGTCAGCCCAAAAAGTAACTTCAGATTCGGAAGGACTATCAAGTTTGTCCTCTTATACTCACTCAGCATACAAGCGACGTAGTCGAGATTAGCAAAACCCATGCAAAGCCTCTCCACACAGTCTTCGGCACAATCCGCCTCGCGCTCGGTCATCTTGTCGCCTACAGCGGTCCAACTTAGCACGTTTCCCTCTCGTAACCAAGTCATCTTTCCATGGGAGAGGCAACCAAAGAGTTTGCCGTGGCGACTTACCAGTGGTTGGGAGTGCAGTCGCGGCAGCCAGGAAAAGGGAGGTGACAAAGAGCAGCTTCATGTTGAAATATCAGGTTTGGGAAGAGTGACTTCTGCTGTAGATATTTGACAAGATGTAAGGCAAGGAATGGTGTAAACTGTTGGAGTGATGTGTCTGGGAGAGAGCAAAAAGGTTTGGAGATCAAAGCAGTTTAAATACTTTTTTTTCTCCTGGCCCGAGTCGATGTTTGCTCCCAAGAAAGCCTTGGCGATGGAAGACATTATAGTACGCACTCATCACCCAGAGGGAAGTAAAGATGCGGCATTAGCTCACTGTCGCACCAGCTGCTCGATCAGCACGGTACGCGGTTCATCCTTCATACTCTGTTCTCGAGATCGACGAATACCTCCACCACTTGAAATTCGTAGTGACAGAGTCACAGGATAAACATGGCGATCCTTTCCTCGGTGTAGTGCAGTATCTCTATACGCGCATCAAGTTCAGCGAATCGATTGCGTTCAGAGGTCAAATTAATATCGTTCCTGTCTCCTCTTGGACGGCCTTTGGCTATGGAAACCCCGCAGCCAAGGCTTGTGCCCGACTTCTGCGCATGTCAGCATCGCCTGTCATCCTCTTGGCACCTGAGCAGAAACATTACATAGCAAAGATATGCCCTGAGTAGGAAAGGAGCATCTCGCTGCATGTGCATGTTCACCGGCCTGGCGCGTCAACACATGATTCATGCTCGAGTTTCCAAATAAGGCAACAATGGCAACAATCTCCATCACGTAGATTTAGCAATATGAGGACTTGGTCTCCGAGAGTAAGATTTTTTTTTTCAGATCTCCCTAAGACACATAGTTGCCTTGTTATTTGGAGAGACAGAGACTCGCTGATTTGCCCATGCGATGCGATGCTGAGTGTATGAACATGAAATGTGCGCAAAGGGGATCTCCATGTCCGCGAGCAGAGAGGCCGGATTCCCCGCTGCTTGGTGTCGTAATGAAATCTCCCTCTCACATCATATATCATGACTCTTACCCGCATTACCTACATAGGTATCAAGGAGGGTAGTCAGCTGCTATGGGCCCGGCCGGCGGCCGCGAATGGTCATCCGAACACGGGGTCAAAACATCTGCCCAGTCAAACATGGGCTGACAGATTTGTATGCTGGCCACAGGCCTTTGGACAGTAAATCGAGGTATCACTCCAAAAAGCATCTACGCCGGAAGCACTACCTCAGCAGCCATGTCCGACAGCCTATGAAGTCGCGATTCAAAAGTGGTGCCCCTTCCCGTTTTCGAACTGCCACCAAATCCGTCAGCTCTATGTTTATTACGGTGCATTCAAGGCTTTACGGTGAACATTGATAGGCCTGTGGCGCAGGCACTGCAAGCCACTGTCGCCAGAGCGAGCGTCGTACATCAAAGTTAAAGCAGCGATATCATGAGGGGCTCGGCAAAAAGCATCTGCGGGGTTCTTCACCGTTAGCTCGTGGCTGGAGGGTGCTCTTTCAACGTCCTCATTGGTCAAGATTGAGGCACGTGTGTTTTCCCCCAGGAAGTCGAGACCAAAGCCTTCGTTTTTTCTGTCTTGGCGGGGTCCTTCCCGGCATGCACGAAGGAGCCCTGTTTGCAGAAGGCGCGCCCATCTGCTCATGTGGCAGGAGTGACGGACTGTAGCCCACCCATTCTTAGTCAGGGCGCAAGTGTCAGACAAAGTGAGCACTCTGAAATCAGTTGGAATATTATGTCAGCAGGTCTTGTATGCCTTTTCATCATGAGAAAAAGACATCAATTGCGCCCTCTGTATATCCTCATCAATGACGCCTCAAGCGTAGTCGGGCTTTCATCATGGCCACCGAGAAACAACCAGCGAAATTAAAGGCACCTGTGTCATTGACGTTTCCTCCCCCATACCAAGGCCAGGGTTCCTACACCGAACCACCCCGGCCTCAGAGGGATGTACAGTACATTCTTCCCGGTGCAGCCGTTTCCAAAGGTTGTGGATTCGCATATCTGACCGGCTTGCTCCCATGCTGATTCTTCGCACAGTTGAGACCATTTCAGTTGACACGTCGGCGATTCCTCAACCCTTTCTCCAGCCGGCAGTATTGCAGAAGTGGAAGCACGAAAAACGGACAACGACTTAATACAGTTTGAGTACATGCTTGCATCTCTAGGTATCTCTCTGACAAAAAAACGCCCGAGATGAGCACCAGTGCACCCCACTTGCGACCTGTTCAAGTCATGCCCACCTACCCGTTTTGACCCGCCCCCAGCTTGACATCGAATTCGATGGACCTTCGATTACGCTCATCATTCATTGCTCGAACATCGACACAAGCGGCCGCCTCAATCATGAGCTACGATGCAATCCAATGCCTCTGGAGTCGCTACGTTTGGACCGTCATGATCACCGTGTTGCGTTCGCTGAGGCCGGGCGTTTAGCTGGTCTGGGGCAAGCTCTGACCCCAGGCGCCGACCGCGCCGCCAACCGGCATAACTACGTGATATATTATGCTGAATGGACACCTCACATCAGCTGAGATTCACGAGCGGCGCAGACATCGGCACTGCCATTGTTTGCTGGATTGCATCGACCGTGAGTGCCATCAGTGTCACTGACGCCAGAGCGTCTGCCTTGCCTCACTGCCGGTGCGGGGTCGACTTCGATAGTCAAGATCCAACTCCCCGGACTTTCGCGGGGTTAGTGCAACTTGTCTGTCCTACCCAAGGAATTAAGGTACAGGGTCCCGGCGAGTGACCTTAAATCAACTTGCAGCTGTTTATTTAGAGCGGAAACAACCACTGCAACGTCTTACATCACAGACACGCATCTGGGTGGACCCATCTGTTCTCGCTCATGCACCAAAAAACCTCTCAATTACAACTTCTCTTGTTCCCCTTCTCTCGTCGGACGCCAGAAACCAAAACGTCGGATCCCCAAATCCCTATCCAGTCATTGTCACGACTCAGTTTCACTAACTGAAAACCACCATGTCTGACCCCACCTCCGACTCGTCGGCTGCCCCGCCACCGACTTCTTCGAAGTCTCCCAACACAGTGCCTTTCTTCCTGAATGGCGCCGAACAACTCACTTCCAAGACATTTCCCGTCACCTCTGCAGGTACTAACCAATACCTCTACGAATCGGCCTCTGCTCAGACCTCCGATGCCGAGGCCGCCGTTGCTGCTGCAGCCGCAGCCTTGCCCGCTTGGCGCGCACTCAAGCCCGCGAAGCGCGCTGCCATCCTAGTCAAGACTGCCGAGGTCATGAAATCCCGCCACGATGAGCTCGCCGGCTACTTGACGAGCGAGACTGGTGCCACGCCAGCCTGGGCCGATTTCAACCTCAAGGTCACAACCGATATACTCATCGCCTCCGCAGCTCGGGTGCACTCGGTAGAGGGCATCATCCCAACGCCAGCCGGCGAAGGTAGCTCCGCCCTCATCGTCAAGGAACCCTTTGGCGTCGTCCTCGCCATCGCCCCATGGAACGCACCCTATATTCTCGGTATCCGCGCCATTGCTGGGCCCCTCGTCACCGGCAACACTGTCGTTCTCAAGGGTCCCGAGGTGAGCCCTCGCGTCACCTGGGCCATCGCCTCGTGTTTGCATGAGGCTGGTCTGCCGCACGGCGTTCTCAACACCCTGGCGCACGATCCCAGTGACGCCCCGGCCGTCACCGCCGCGCTCATCGCGCACCGCGACGTCAAGAAAATCAACTTCACCGGCTCCACGGGCGTCGGTCGCATCATTGGTCGCCTCGCCGGTGAACACCTCAAGCCCGTGCTCCTCGAACTCGGTGGCAAGGCCCCGGCCATCGTTTGGGAAGACGCTGACCTCCAGCTCGCCGCGCAGCAGTGCGCCCTCGGCGCCTTCCTCAACGCGGGGCAGATCTGCATGAGCACCGAGCGCATCGTTGTCCACAAGGCCGTGAGCGCCGCCTTTGAGTCCGCCCTTCGCGACGCCGTAGGCAACATCTTCTCGACCGCCGATGCGCCCGTGCTCATCGCCGGCGCTGCCGTCACCAAGAACAAGAAGCTCATCCGCGATGCCATCGCCCAGGGGGCCCGCGTCGTGGTCGGCGACCCGAATGCCGACGACGCCTCGCCGACGCGCATGCGGCCCGTCGTGCTCGGTGGCGTCACAGCCGAGATGGACATCTACCAGACCGAGTCGTTCGGCCCCACCGTGTCCCTCTACGAGGTCGAGACGGAGGAAGAGGCCCTGCGCATTGCCAACGACACCGAGTACGGCCTGTCGTCAGCCGTCTTCACCGAGGACCTCCGTAGAGGTCTGCGCTTCGCGAAAAACATTGAGACGGGCGCTGTGCACATCAACAGCATGACTGTGCACGACGAGCCGGCGCTGCCTCATGGCGGTGCCAAGGCCAGCGGGTACGGCAGGTTCAACGCCGGTGCCTTGGAGGAGTGGGTGAGGACCAAGACCATCACGTATCAGGACTGATGGATTGGCTACGATGAAATGATGCACACATAAGCTACCATCATGTACGTATAGAAACATGAGAGAAACACTTGCTCGATTCACTTGAACGACACACAGGCAAAGGCATGGTGGTGATGGTAAAAAAGCAAATTCCGTATTATTCCGTTGTCCCCTAATGTCCCATAACGCCCGAGGGGGGCAGGTCACTCGACGAAGGCTTTCCCCCCTCCCCTTCAACTGATATCTGTTGTGCAGCGGGCCACTTTCCCCCTTGACACAGGAAGCCAATAGTTCTGTTGCAGGCACAAATGTGCCGCGTCTCAAAAACAGGGAAGAACACCCAATTCAATTCCCGTTGATCGTGACCGTCATGACCAATTCATCTCATGCCATCGTGGAGAAGCTCTTTCGTGCCACGGCGTTGTTTGGAAGCATGTAACACCCCGACTCCTTGCTTGCTGAAGACCGGCTGGAAACCCAGAACAGTGAATGCCCTAGGGGCTGAGATACCTACATTTGTCGTTTTGATTGATCAGGCGGGCGACAGCGACGGCAGGTCGCTGTCGAGCACGAGATACATGGTCGCTTAGCGGATGGTCATCTGCTTGGTCATCTCAGCCTTGGTCGATGTGCCGGTGGCACCAACTCCAGAGCTGGAGCCAGCCTTCTTCTCGAACACCTTCCAGAACTTCAGACTCTCGTCGGCAGCTAGAGCATTGTTATCAGCAAGGGCTTTCGGCGATCATGAAGCTAGAGTACACTTACCAGCAGTGGCGAGCATCTGGCCATCCGGGCTCAGGCAGCTGTGCAGAACGCGGCTCTCGTGGGCTGGAATCTCCACGTTGCGGACCAGGGTAGGGTAGCTCCAAATGCTGAGAGAGTTGTCGGGGAAGCCGCTCGAGCTGACAATCTCGCGGTAGTTGGGGCTCCAGCGCAGGCTGGTGACCTGCGAGCCAGTGTCGATGCTGTTGACGCGAGCGCCCGAGGTAGAGTTCCAGAAGTGGATGTGGCGATCATACGAACCACCTCCCGTGGCCAGAAGGTTCATGTTCCAGGGGCACCAGGCGAGAGCCTTGACGGCGGCCTTGTGGTTGGTCTTTGTGAACTTGGGAACCGACAGCGAGCGGGCGTCCCAGATGGACACAAGGTTGTCGTTGCCGCCAGTAGCGAGCTGAGCGCCGTCGGAACGCCACTCCAGACCACAGACCTCAGAGGTATGGGAGACGAGCTCGGCAACCTTGTGCTCGGCGATGCGAACATCGTGGTTGTAGACAAGACCGCTACGAGCGCCAGTCGAAAGGAGATGCTTGTTCCAGCCCATGACACCGACACGGGTGTCGTGGCCGAACATACTACGAACCTTCTGGGCTTCGGCAACGTCCCAGATCTGAACCTCGCCAGTTCCAAGGCCGACGCCGACGTAGGCGCCGTCACCGGACCACTTGACACTGCTGACGTAGGTGTCAGCACTGGTCTCGAGAAGGCAGCTTACGCTTCCCTCATCGGCGGACCAGACGTAGACGTTGCGCTCCAGACCAATGGCAACCTGGTTCCCGGAGCTCCAGTCGAGCAGGTTGAGGTAGTAATCATCGATCAGACCAGGTGCGTCAAGAACACGCTCAGGAGCGGTGGCCACACGGCGACGGAACTGCGCACTCGTGGCCGTGGCGGCCCTCAGAGGACGGTTGTACTGCTGGCGAAGGTCGATGGGCTTAGACGACTCGGGAGGCGCGGGCTTGAACTGGAGGATGCGGGTGTTGAGGTTGACACCGCAGGCGTTGGCAAGGGAGTCCTGGTAGGCAACGGTGTTGGGGGAAGGGCGGGCGTAGGTGGTAGGCTCATCATCATCGTTGATGCTGAGACCCTCGAGGGCAGCCAGGGCCTCGTCGGCAGCAGACGAGAGAGTGGCGGAGCCATCACCGCCGTTGCTAGACTTGGGACGCTTCTCGGCATGATCAAGCTTGCCACTGCCGACGTTGGAAATGGCAGAGCTCGCACCGCGGTTGGGGATGAAGCGATCGCCGCCGTAGTTGATCGTGGTCTTGCTGGACTTGATCCTCTGGGACTTCTTGGGCTTGGCACTAGAGGGTGTTTTTCCCGAGCCAGTCAAGGTGAAGTCGGACACGCCGAGCTCAAGAGCCTTGCGAGGGGTAGCGACACCGCGGGCGATGTTGGACTTGGGAGAGTCACGGTGAGAGGACTTGGGCTTGGTGGCAGAGCGGGCGAGGTGGGCGGTGAGGTTTCCGCCGTACGTGGACTTGGTGGGCCTGTAGCCGTCCTTGCTCGGCTGACGCTCAGGAGTGTAGGGCGAGGAGTTGAGATTCAGCGGGATTGAAGTGGTCGAGCACTGGCGAGGCGAAGGAGTCAAAGGCATGCGCCCGCCGGCGGTACGGGTAGTGAAGAGCCCCCGATGGGACTTGAGTGGTGTGGTCACGGCGGCTGAGGCCATTTTTGGTGTCTGAGAGCTCCAAGAGACTCTAACCAAAGGTTCCTGGATGGGTGCGGACACCGTTAGTATGATGATAGTCGATGTTCTCGATGATTCGAGTGATGGCTGTGGCTCTGAGCAAAGAACGGTTTCCAAGTCGAAGGGACGATCAGTTCGAGCGAGGAGAATGCAGCGAAGAAGATCTAGCAGACTTGATGGGCGTTTCTTTCACAGGCTAAGCGCGAGGAGAGCGGTATGAGAGGCTGTTGGAGGGCTTGCGGGTGGAGAGTGTGCGTGGTGAGGAGAGAAGTGTTGCAGCATGGTGAGCTCGACCTTGGACGTCTTTTATTTACTTTAGGCCCCACTGTCGACCTGGCCGGGCAACGGCTTCCATCCCTGTCACCCCGGTCGCGGTTGCTGCAATGTTCCGGCAGCCAACCCCGAGTGCCCAATTTAGGCCAATCAAAAGCTGATAAACTCATCCCTGTTCCTGCAGTGGCGTCCTGCTGGCTCCCTCCTCTAGCAGTGTCTAGCCGCCTCTCTCCTGGCTTGTGCACTAACGATGAGGTCAGTCGCTCCTTCCATTCTGCCTCTTGTGACCGCCTGCCAGCGACTGCACCCTCCCGACTCAGGCCTATGAGCCGCTAGGCCGGAAGAGGAACAGCAGGTAACGACCGCGGCTGCGCTGCCTGAACGACCGTCTCCTTTGTCTGTCAAGATCGTCCCAAATATTTTTCCAAAGGTCGGCTTTCTTCAGTCCATCGTCGACCCTCCCGTCGAGACGCTCTTCCGTCTTTTTGACCCTCTGAAATGACCGCTACGATCTGCCGCTAATCGCCGAGGATCCGGATCCGTCAACATCACAACCATGGCGGCGCAGCCTGGCACGCCTGGCGCCAGTACGCCGTCCCTCTTTGGCGGCCCTACACTATCAACCCCCAGCGCCAACACCAACACACTCAGCCGTGCCTCCTCCTCTCTCCTGCCGTCTTCCAGCGGCCCCGGCCCTTCCGACAGCTCGCCTGGCTCGGATGGCTCTGCCAACAACACCTACATCATGCCCAACTCGCCCATCAAGAACAGGACCGGCCTCGATGGCTACCGTCCCAAGGTCACGAAAACCCTGGGCCAGCGACCGGCATGTCTCGTCAATGCCTCGGTGACCTACTGCGGAAACAACACCATCTATGCCTTTGGAGGATTTGATCAGTACACCGATGAGGTCTACAATCATGTCCTCAAGCTCGACCTCAACAGCCATCAGTGGAGTCTGATCGACAATTATGGTGACATCCCAGGTGTTCGGATGGGTAAGTCACTCTTTGGACCAGCGGCCTCGGCATGAGACTGACCATTGTCTCACCCAGGACACACCGCCACCATGTACGCTGGCGATAAGCTGCTTGTCTTTGGCGGCGAGAACGAACACCGAACCTACCTGTCCGATCTCATAGTCTTTGATCTCAAGACCGCTCATTGGACAATGCCACAGACGAGCGGACCGAAACCCAAGGGCCGCGCCCGACACGCCGCTGTTCTACACGAAGACAAGCTATTCATTGTCGGAGGTATCACAGGCAACGATAACTACGTGTTAGATGACATCTGCTACCTCGACCTGAAGACTTTCACCTGGTCTAGGTCATGGCGCTTCGTTGGACGCTTCGACCATTCCGTTTACATCTGGAACGACAGGGTGTGGGTGTTTGGTGGCATGGGTGAAGATATGGACAAGACTGGAGACTTGTGGTGGCTAGACCTAAAGGGAAGCCCAGCGTTCGACTCGGCACCCAATGTTGGTATTTACGACCGAAACTCGGGGATCAACCGCGCTGTCGGTTCACCCCGACCCCCTTACAGTTTGACACAAACCCCGGCGGTTGGTACTTCTGGGTATGCCGCCAACTCTCGGACGCAACAAGTCAACCCGCCCTCTTTCCAGATGAAGACGTACGCTCCGCCTGCACCTGGCACCATCTCCTCGCTCAAGTTTGTAGGCGGGCCCAGCATACCACCGCAAGGTTCCGGTATACACTTCCACGTATACTCGTCAGGCACGCTGCTCGATTTTGTTACGCCAGCAGTCACTACCACATCTAAGGAATGTTCCTTGTCAGCTCTGGACCTTCAGACACTCCGATGGCAAAAGCTTGCCGAGGGCAGGGAGATATTCAAAACCGGCTATCGCTGGCACTATTGCACCATGAACGAAGATGGAACGAAGGCGTGGCTCCTCGGCTGTCCGACAGATCCACCCGCCAACGACCTGGGGCCCAATGGATTTGAGGAATACTTAAGCGACATCACGGAGATTGATCTTCGCAAATATGGGTTCCTCGGAAACCACCTCGCATCAGAGCCAGTGACGCAATCTCGGCCGACTCGTGCGATCGACCAGCCATCACGGGGTCTAGGCGCAGATCTCGCATCGCTGTTCGACCAGCCTCCTGAATCGGGTAGCGGCGCAGACTTTGTTATCACGGCCCTGGCTGGAGGTTGGCCCTGGGATGAGGAGAGCGCGCCGCGGAGCGGCGAAGCTACTCCCGACCAAAACTGGCTTGCTCCGGGCACTCATACATCACAACCCATA